GCGCCGAGCCCGCCCGCCGCGGCTCCGCCCGCCCGCCTGGAAAACTGCGTGCCCTCACGCCCGCTTGGCCGGAGCCCGGCTCCCGAGGCCAGGTTTTCTCAGACTCCCTCAGAGCGGTAAGCGCTGCTTCTGGGCGTTTCCGCCAATGAAGGTTGAGCCTCGGCTTACAGGAGTGGCACGCGGGTGAGAATTTGCATTTGGCAATCTTCTCCCAGGCTTCAGTGACACCGAAGTCTGTATCTCCACTCCTCTCCAAGCCCTAGGCCACCATGGCTACATATGCTGGACATCCCCAACTCAGGTTCCCCGGAACCAAAGTCATCTCCCCACAGTCCGCCTTGCCCTCTTGGGTGTCCTCTCTGGGGTTGGTAGCAGCCCTGGTCACGAGGGATGCCCAGACTGGAACTCAGGGAGTCGGCCTCACTTGGCAAACCAAGTTCAGATCCTCCTTGAGCCTGTCTGGACTTTGTGGCCACCACACACCTGGCCTCCTCCCCTGCCCCAAGCCATCCTACTTATAACTTCATCTTCCTTTGATCCTCAGTTTTTTTGCTTTGTGAAATGGAGAGGATAAAACCTACTTCCCAAAGTTGTTCGGAAGATTCAGTGAGATCCATGCATGAGAGGCTGCCCTCTGCTGGCTAGGTGATCAAGGAATGTTTATTGCCGCCTGGGACTCTTTACTCCATTTACTTTTGGACTCTTTAAGACAGACTGGAAAAAAGGACCTGGTGATCTACTTCTGAAAATATTGGCCAATGAAAACCTTATGGATAGTAGCAGAACGTTGTCTGATATGGTGCTGGAAGATGAGCTCCTCGGGTCGGAAGGCACTCAAAATACCACTAGGGAAGAGCTGTCTCCTGAAAAGTAGAGTCCACCTTAATGATGTCGATGGAGTCAAGCTTCGGAAACTTCATTTACTGATGTGGCCTTACTCAAAATGAGAAGAAACAGTTGCAAACATCCATTAATAATCGGAATGTGGAATGTACGAAGTATTAATCTAGGAAAATTGGAAGTTGTTGAAAATGAAATGGAACACTTGAAGATCGATATCCTAGGCATTAGTGACCTGAAATAGACTAGTATTGGCCATTTTGAATCAGACAATTATATAGTCTACTATGCCAGGAATGACAAATTGAAAAGGAATGGCATTGCATTCATCATCAAAAAGAACATTTCAAGATCTATCCTTAAGTACAGCGCTGTCAGTGGTAGGATAATATCCATATGCCTACAAGGAAGACCAGTTAATATGACTATTATTCAAATTTACACACCAACCACTAAGGCCAAAGATGAAGAAATTGAAGATTTTTACCAGCATCTGCAGTCTGAAATTGATCAAACATGCAGTCAAGATGCATTGATAATTAATGGCAATTGGAATGCAAAAGTTGGAAACAAAGAAGAAAGATCAGTAGTTGGAAAATATGGCCTAGGTGATAGAAACGACACCAAAGATCACATGATAGAATTTTGCAAGACCAATGACTTACTCATTGGAAATACCTTTTTTCAACAACATAAATGGTGACTATACACATGGGCCTCACCAGATGGAATACACAGGAATCAAATCAACTACATCTGTGGAAACATGATAGAGAAGCTCAATATCATCAGTCAGAACAAGACCATCTCAAGAATAGATTTGACGCATTGAACACTAATGACCAAAGGCCAGACGAGTTGTGGGATGACATCAACGATATCATACATGAAGAAAGCAAAAGGTCATTAAAAAAAACAGAAAAGGAAAAAAAGACCAAAATGGATGTCAGAAGAGACTCTGAAACTTGCTCTTGAACGTAGAGTAGCTAAAACGAAAGGAAGAAATGATGAAATAAAAGAGCTGAACAGAAGGCTTCAAAGGGCAGCTGGAAAAGCAAAGTAAAATATAATAATGATGTGCAAAGACCTGGAGATAGAAAACCGAAAGGGAAGAACACAGAAATACAAGCTGGATTCAGAAGAGGATGTGGAACAAGGGATATCACTGCTGATGTCAGATAGATCTTGGCTGAAAGCAGAGAATACTAGAAAGATGTTTACCTGTGTTTTATTGACTATGCAAAGACATTCAACTGTGTGGATCATAACAAATTACGGATAACATTGTGAAGAATGGGAATTCCAGAACCTTAATTGTGCTCATGCGGAATCTGTACACGGACTAAGAGGCCTTCGTTCTAACAGAACAAGGGGATAGTGCGTAGTTTAAAATCAGGAAAAGTGTGCGTCTGGGTTGTATCCTTTCACCATACTTATTCAATCTGTATGCTGAGCAAATAATCCGAGAAGCTGGACTATATGAAGAAGAATGCAGCATCAGGATTGGAGGAAGACTCATTAACAACCTGTGTTATGCAGATGACACAACCTTGCTTGCAGAAAGTGAAGATGACTTGAAGTACTTACTGATGAAGATCAAAGACCACAAGCCTTCAGTATGGATTACACCTCAACATAAAGAAAACAAAAACTGGTCCACACTGGACCAATAAGCAATATCTTGATAAACGGAGAAAAAATTGAAGTTGTCAAGGATTTCATTTTACTTGGATCCACAACCAATACCCATGGAAGCAGCAGTCTGCTGCAAAAGACCTCTTTAAAGTGTTAAAAAGCAAAGATGTCATCTTGAGGACTAAGGTGTGCCTGACCCAAGCCACAGTATTTTCAGTCGCCTCATATGTATGCGAAAGCTGGACAATGAATGAGGAAGACCAAAGAAGAATTGATACATTTGAATTATGGTGTTGACAAAGAATCTTGACTATACCGTGGACTGCCAGAAGAACAAACGAATCTGTCTTGGAAGAAGTACAGCCAGAATGGTACTTTGAACCTGTTATCAGGAGGGGCCAGTACCTGGAGAAGGACATCATGCTTGATAAAGCAGAGGGTCAGCAAAAAAGAGGAAGACCCTCGTTGAGATGGATTGACACAGTGGCTGCAATAATGGGCTCAAGCAAATGATTGCGAGGATGGCGCAGTACCAGGCAAAGTTTTGTTTTGCTGTACATGGGGTCACTATGGGTTGGAACCGACTCGATGGCACCTAACAACCTAACAGAGCAGGACAGGCCCACAACAGGTGACCTAGTCTACCATCTTCACTTCCAGCCAATTGAAGAGATTTTCATGAGCACAGCAATACCTTGGGCGTTAGTCTTGTGTCATTATGGTACTTTGTCACAATAGCAGAATTTCAGGAATAGCGATTTTATGTGGTCAGCCTGGGGGTACTTTGAGAGGATCACAATTGTGCTAGTCACGCTTTGCCATGATGTATCACCTTTCTGCTGAGAACTTGAAAACATTTCACAAGTGGTAATTAGGCTTCCCAACACCCACTGAGGAAAGGATGTTATTATATAAGATGGTTTTAAGGATGAGTAATGTGCAGCAAGTCTGTCAGCTGCTGAATCTCTGGGACCCTGTCGCAGATTCTTCGGGCCAGCTCCTCTGCCTAGTCTCTAGGCAGAGGCCATGTCCAGCCCTGAGGACGTTCCCAGGGAACAGTCAAGTACAGAAGAGGAAGCTGAGGCACAGAGAGGCATCTATGATGTGCCCTGAGCCACACAGCTACTAAGGGTGGAGGAGCAAAGATGCAGCTTGGCATCTGGCTGACCCTGCAGGCCATGCTCTGGTAGAAATAGTTACTTGTGAGTGGCCATACTGGCCAGCCCCATCTTAGTTACCGACAGCCTTGCCACAAACAGACATCAAACATGAGATGGCTGGTCAGTTCATCCACTTGAATAACAGGCGCCGTTGCCCTATCAAGAGCTTTCACAGACAGGACTCAGGCTGCTCGGAGCCCAGAGCCTCACAGGCAGGTGGGACTTTGGGAAGGTCCCAGAGAGTCCAGAGCTGTACCGCCGCTTTGCATGTCCACAGATTCCATGTTAGCAGTCCCCCCAGAGATGACCAGGCCATGGGGGACGCCTAGCCCAGGTAACAGGCCACTGACACACAGACCAGTTGTCAAAGTATTATTTTGCTCTGACAAGCCAGGCTGCCCGGGGAGGGGCACACGAGCCTCTCTGTGATGCTGTAGGGGAAGAACTGGACTATCCCAAGGCCTCACCTCCTCAGCCTTTTAGAGGTGGCTGTACCTGGGCCGCCTCAGCTTCCTGCAGACCCAGGCCAGTGCCCTGCTGGTGCTCTCCCCGTTTCCTGCCAGGTGCTCTCAGGCCATTTTCTCACTGAGGCTTTTCCTGTCTCATTCTAGAGCAAGCTATACCAAGTGTTGTGGGTTGGATTGTGTTCCTCAAAGAGAGATGTTGAAGTCCTATCCCCCCGTACCTGTGAATAGGATCCTGTTTGAAAATCTGGTCTTTGAAGATGTTATCAGTTAAGGTTACCATGAGGTCCAACTGGAGTAGGGTGGGCCCTGATCCCGTCTGAGTGGTGTCCTTTTAATAGGAGAAGAGCCACAGACAGAGGGACGTTGGCCATGTAAAGACACATCTGCAAGCCAAGGAATGCCTGGGGCTACCAGAAGCTGAAAGAGACAAGGACAGATCCTCCCTCAGACAGAGCATGGCCCTGCAGACACCTTGACTTCAGACTTCTGGTCTCCAGACTGTGAGGGACTGAGCTTCGGCTGTTTAGAAGCTATCCAGTTGGTGGAAATTTGTTGTGGCGATCCTAGGAAACTAACACAGCAAGTTGGCACAGATCTAAGGTGAGACGAACCATCCACGATGACAGATTTTCAGGGGAAAAAAGAAAAACTGTGCCAATCACTGTACACGTGGATTGGTTCACACTGGTTCACAAAGATTAAAATGTGGGC